CCATTGTATATTCTTGCCTCCTTGTCATAGATTAGGTGACCGACCGTATGTGCATGGCATTGTCTCTGGGTTTTCCATCCTGTACCGCTGATGTATATTTCTGTTTCTGCCAGTATTGAACTGTCTTGACTACTATAGCTTTGTAGTATATTATGAAGTCAGAAATCCCGTTTCCTCCAGCTCCATTTTTCTTTCTCAAGATTGCCTTGGCTGTTCAGGGTCTTTTGTCTCTCCATAGAAACTGTAAAATTCTTTCTTCTAGATCTGGTTAAATGACATTGGTCATTTAATAGGGTTGCATTGAATCTGTAGATTGCATTGGGTAGATACAGTGATTTTTACAACATTGATTCTTCCAATCCAGGAACNTTAAACAACAGCAAAGCCTCTAATACAAGCCTGGGAAATAGGAGAATCAGTTCTATGAAACCTATCTTGTTAAAAAAAAATTTTTTAGACAATATTCTAAAATTCCACACGATGGAGTCATTACTCCATGAAGGAAACATTTTTCTTAGTTACCTTTTATGCTTTCATTCATTTACTCAACTAGTTATTGAGCATCTACTATTGAGTCTACTGTGCTAGGCACTGGGTGTATACAGGGAAATGGCAATAAATGGTTCCTGCTCTCAAAGAGAAAGAGACTAAAGGAGACAGATATTAAACTAATAGATCGCCAGCCCAGGTTGGATGCATGAGACAAGTGCTCAGGGCTGGTGCACTGGAATGACCCAGAGGGATGGGGTGGGGAGGGAGGTGTGAGGGGGGTTCAGGATAGGGAACACATGTAAATCCATGGCTGATTCATGTCAGTGTATGACAAAAACCACTACAATATTGTAAAGTAATTAGCCTCCAACTAATAAAAATAGATGAAAAAATAAATAAATAAAGTGAGGTTGAGTCAGAGTAAGACAAATAGCAGTTTTCTGCTAGAAAGGAAAGGAAAGGAAGATGTTATGGGCATTCAGATAAAAAGGTCCAACTCCAAGCTGACCCAAGCAGACGGAAATCTTGATGTAACAACTAGATGACCTATTAGAGGGATCAGGGTCAGGGCACCATCTCAAATGCCTGAGGACAAAATAAGGCTAGGAAGAAGTTTCTGAGTGATGTCAGAGCCAGCAGAGACTCTTCAGATCACCTTACCTCTTTGCTTGATAAATGAGGAAACTGAGAGCCAGGGGAGGGAAAAAACTAGGTCACCCAAGGTCGGCAGCCTAGATGCCTAGATAATGGCTAAGCCAGGACTGAAACCCAGATTTCTGGCTCTCAGGTCAATGTGTTTTCTATACCACCACCCACCCTCACAAGGCCCTGTCACAACAAAGCCATAAAATAGACAGATTTCATTCCCCTGATGCATGCAACAGTACCCACGCAATGCCGAAAGTGATCCCAAAGGAAATTTCTTAGCTGGGAGTCCTACAGAGAACCAGAATGGGACTTGGAAAAGAACTAAATTCCTTCTTGGGTATTTCAGCCAATGGGAATGGAGCCCAGAAATCACTGATGTTTTCTGTTTGTGGAGTTTTTTTTAATAGCTATCTTTGAAGATTGAAGAGTGCTACCATGCTGCTGGAAAAATGAAGTCATTGCTTTGAGAGATATATGAGGAAAAGAAAAGAAGTGATGCTACATATATTAAAATAAACCAGTTCTACCTGTTGGGCTGGGAAATTAACCCTTGTTTTCCTAAATTATTTATCAACATAACCAAAATCACCAAGAGGAAGAGCCCTTGAAGACTCAAAGGGGAGGCTGCCAATTGAAAAGGAAAGGAGAAGAAAGAGAAGGATGACTGTTCAGTCTCATCAGAAAGAAGAGAATGAATATGGGCTTTGAATCTGGAATGTCATAGATAATGTATTATTTATTCCTTATAATAGACCTCCATAGCAAATCTATTATTCCCATTTTGATGAGGAGGAAAATGGGGCTCAAGGAGCTTAACTAATTGGCCCAAGGCCATGTCAAGTACGAAGGTGAGAGTTGGACCATAAAGAAGGCTAAGCACTGAAGAATTGATACCTTCTAACTGTGGTGCTGAAGAAAACTCTTAAGAGTCCCTTGGGACAACAAAGGGATCAAATCAGTAAATCTTAAAGGAAATCAACCCTGAATATTCATTGGAAAGACTGATGCTGAAGCTGAAGCTCCAATACTTTGGCCACCTGATACAAAGAGCCAACTCACTGGAAAAGACCCTGATTCAGGAGGAGAAGGGGGCAACAGAAGATGAGACGGTTGGATGGCATCATCGACTCAATGACATGAGTTTGAGCAAACTCCAGGAGATAGTGAAGGACAGGGAAGTCTGGTGTGCTGCAGTCCGTGGTGTCAGACAAGACTTTGCAACTGAACAACAACAATACAGCTAGTAAGTAGCAGAACCAGGACTTAAGTGTTTCTTCCTCAGATTTCATGATCTTGCCTTACTCCACACTATAACTTTAGTGCTTTCTCTAGGCTTCAGTTTCTTCTCCATAAAATAAGGACACTTAATCAAGATACCTCTAATGTGTCTTATAGCTCTGATGGCCTATGGACTTACTAATGTTAGAAGTTGTCCTTAGTCGGTGATCTTCTGGAGCCCCCTCGAGAGCTGCAGGACTCTTGAGCTCCAAGAAGAGTGAGCTGATCCCCTGGTGTGCTGAGTTTGAAGGAAGTGATCAAGGCAACACTTCTTGCTGACCCTAACCAAGGATTGCAGCCTCTCCAACCCCAATTCAGTGCCTACAGTTCTCTTCCTCGCTTGAACATCAAGACAAATGCACAAACCTCCACTGGGAAAGGCCTGGGATCCTGAAACATCCCTGAGGTGTTTATTTATAACACCAAGGGTACATCTAACAAGTTCATCGTGTGGCATGTGGCCATGTGTGCAAAGAAAGAACTGTCCCTGAGAAGTCTTTGCTAAGACAAGGGCTAAGCTGTGAGCAAGCCTAGCAAGTAGAAGGGACAATAAGGGAGACAGAGGAGGCATTCATAGATTGTACACATCTTCCTACAGAGCAGTAAGAAGCCTAATGCTTTAGCAAAGAGTTCTGGACTGAAACCAGGTGAGAGTTGGACTCCTTGCTCTGCCACTACATGACAGTGGGGTCTGAGGTAACTTTGATCATGCTCTAGCATGGAGTATAGCTTAGACCAGTATTAAATAATTGCAACAAAGTTTGACAAGCATCTGGCAAGGGTGCCAGAGCTTAAAAAATGGAGACTCTCAGAGCAAGATAAAGCCATGGTCACAGGTGGACAGGCAGGAGCAGGGAGGTTTGAGGGAGGGTCAAGTCCCCAGCAGGGAGGGTTAGTGAGTAGGGAAACTGTGCCCAAATCCTAAAGAATCCAAGGGAAGTCATCAGGGAAGATCTCAGGGCTTATAATCATAAGTCTGGGTGCAGAAGAAAACCTATTCCTCAGGTAGGCAGCATTACCCCAGGCAATTCAGGTGGGTCACCTGGGGTTCTGATTCTAATTCAGATGCTCAAGTGCCACCCAGAAAGTCTGATTCTATGGGTCTGAGGTAGTGACTGAGCACTGACATTTCTCTAAAAGCTCTCCAGGATTTCTAAACTACAGCCAAGGTTGAGAACATCTGCCATAAGCAGAGATCTCTGAGAGACAGAGCCCGCCCTGAGTGGCCACTGCATCAGGCCTTGCCAGACAGAAGGGGCTCAGGTATGCTTCCTGGATAAAGGAAAGAATACAGTGTACGTGAAGCAGAGGAAGTCACCAGCCAGTTATTAGAATCAGAGCAAGGCCAAGAAAACGGCTGATCTTATGCTGAGCCCCCTGAATGACTGGCCAAGGGCTGCCTGCATCCCTCCTGACTATGTACATGATTGGCCCTGACCTGGAAGCTGGAGCCAGATCAAGTTTATGTGAGGACCCCAGAAAGGGGAGAGAGGGGATCAGGGTGTCCAACAGCCCATTACAGATCAGGGACACTGGTGAATCTCAAGCACACATTAATGACTACAAAGCCTGATTGAAGAAATCTCATCTTTATTAAAGTACCCTGCCTATATATAAATAGCCCTCCTCCTTCCACCACTTCAGATGGTGGTGACTTTCCCTTAAAAAGGGGAGTGGTGAGGGAAGAAGGAGTCAGTTATTAACAAAAGTGAGGTGAATGAGGACCATCAGAAATGAAGGTGGCTTCCTGCTTCTTGCTTTCTGCCTCCCCCCATACCTTATTCTATACCCCTGCTGTCAGAAATCATCTTTCCTCTCTCCCCAAACCATATTGCATACCGTTTGAAAGCTATCAGTATTCTTGCACCTACCTATGCACTTCTCTATGGGCAAACCCTTTGCATCTTTAATGCTCCCTCTCTTATTAATGAACCCCCAACCCTGTAGTTCTGGGTGCACTGCTGATCTTTGATGAGAGGAACCAAGCCTGGCCAGTATGGGAAAGTCTCTCAACAAACAGCCCAGGAAGCCAGGTCTCTTTTCTTGTATTCTGACTATCAGAACTGCTGAGAATCAGTCAGACTTGGTCCTTAAACTTTGAAGACTCTTCACTATAATGGAGAGACACTGATTTGTTTCCTAGGAATTTTGTGCTTTACTTCTAACACTCTACCTTCCAAACCTCTGCTAAATTCTCTGATGGTTCATATGCAGTGGGTGGGAAATCAAGTGCTATGGGGCTCCACCCCCAACCACCATGTCCTCACTGAATTGGAGGGAAGCTGGAAACTGGGAGTGTGACCCTGACGTACCCAGGAAAAAGGGGGCAGCCTGGTGCCCCCACCTCTCTCTCTCTTTTTGAGAGGAACCTCTGCTGTGTGTGTGGAGACAGAGCTCTGGAAGAGACTCATACACTAGGCTGAGGCTAATCTAAGGCCGCAGCTCCCGATGTGGGTGATAATGAGGGGTGGGGGTAGGGTGAACCAGAAGGAAAGAGTGATCTCATCACTGTGGAAAGGCCCTTTAAGATCACCTAGTCCTGTAACTTTCAAACTTTTTAAAATCAGTTGGACCTTTTTCCATCCAAAACTCTTAAATAAAACTCCATCAAAAATGGAGCTGCTCTGATTAAAGCCAGAGGAAGAGGTAGGAGTTGGGGATGGGAGGTAGGACCAGGGTGGGAAAGCCACTCCCTCAGTCTCCCTGCCAAATGCAAAAGTCCCTAAGGCACTATGCAGAGCACTGGGGCCCTGGGTCTCACTTTGAAAAGCCAATGATTTAACCCAAACCCTTAACTTTATAGATTTTAAAGCTGGGAGATTTGTGCAGGGTCCCTGTGGAGTGAGTGGTGGCACCAGCGCTAGAACTTAACCCCACTCCCAACCCAGGTCTCTCTTCACCCCCTCCCACCAGCTGGCTGGCCCCTCGGGCCTTGGGCCCCCAGCGTCTCCCTGGGCCCAGCAAGGGAATCTTAGATGGAGCTGCGGAAGGAGAACTGCAGGTAGATGATCAGCAGGAGGACCGTGGCCCAAAACAAGCACCAGGGGATGGAGAAGAAATTGCAGCCAGAACCCTCCTCGGCCTGCGGCTTGGTGGGGCTGGGCGCCCGAGAGAAGGTGTAGGTGGTCGCCTCCTCCTCCAGCAGCTTCTCGCTGGGCTTCCAGTGCACGATGCCCTCCTGGCAGGCCTCGCAGAACTCGCCACGGTGCCGCCGGGTGTCTTGGCGGCTGGCCACGTGGATGCGGTACTGGCCGCCGCGCTCGCCGTAGCACTGCTCGCGCAGGCTGGTGATGAGGTTGTCCACCAGGCACTCGATGTTCTCCTCCAGCATGCTCGACTCATCCAGCCGCGCCGTACCACACTCGTAGCACAGCTGCTTGAAGACGCGCATGCGCACCGAGCCCGCCCGCTGGGCGCGGTCCAGGTACATGTGGAAGAGGATGACCAAGTGGGGTGACTGCCAGGTATGCCAGCACCAGGAGCAGTGGAACCTGCGGGGACAAGGAGAGGCGAGAGGAGAGGACAGAGTGGAGACGGTGGAAACAGACTGCCCGAAGGAGGGATGGGGCAGGAGGCAGAGCCGGGAGGTGGAGGCGGTGTGTTTACGGCTCCCTGAGTTCATCAGCTTTCCCCAGGTGTGTGCTCTGCTAGGACCAGAGCCCACGCCTCCGGATGCACTTGACATCCAGCAGTGCTCAGCCATCGCGGGGCCCTTCTCTATGCCCTGCAGAAGCCTCAGTGACCTCCATCTCTATGCCCAAGGGCCTTGCCTCTGGGATATTGGCTCTGGGCAGCTTTCCTCACATGTAAAACGTGCACGTTGTACGAAAGAGTTCTTCCTGCACAGATATCCTTCGAGTCTGATAGCAGGGATGGCCCACATCACCTAGAAAATGCAAAATCCATCCACATGCTCTTACCTGTCAACAATGACTGTGAACAGGCCAGATCCAAATCAGGAGCAAATGACACCATTATCGCCTCTTAGCCTCTGGGCCAGTACCAAGATTACTGTGTCTGAAGTCCTGGATGTGGAGGCAATCTACACCCTGAGTGAGCTAACTGGAGCCAGCTGGGGCTCTCAGGCCAGCAGCTGGGTCCAGAGGAGACACCTGCCCTTCCCACCCAGCCCCACAAGCCTTCCAGGCCCTTGAGCAGCTCCTGGGCCCTGTCAACAAGTGTCCAGTCCTTTTGCATCTGTCCTGTCAGCTGGGTAAGGAGTTCCACATTTTCATTTTTTATCTCTTTTCTTTGACTCACATCCTTTGGGGACTGTTTCCCCTCTCCAAAACCAAACTACAAAACTTGGAATGGAAAATGTCAGAACTAGCGGGACCTTAGGAGTCACCTAGTTAGCCCTTTGTTTTACTCTGAAGCCCAGAGAGTAAGAAAGCGGAACACACAGTGAGTTAGAGGCAGAGCTGGTATCCAACACATAACAGATGCACAGTAGATGTTGAATTAAATTCAGTGACTTGAACCAGGGAAAGAAGGAAGGCCTTGCTTCTGACCTCCAGGCTGCACCACTCAGCCTCCAAACCTTGTGTCCCAGAGGTAAGTCTTTACATAATCCACCCACGGACAAGAATGCTGGAAAGTCATCTCGGACTTATTGTAAGTACGAATCACCTAGGAACCTTGCTGAAATGCAGGTTCTGATTCAGTAGGTCTAGAATGGGACCCAAGATTCTGCATCTTTAACAAGTTTCAGGTGATGCCGATACTACTGTTCCCTGAGGAACAAGGATCTATTCTAACCCTTTCTTCCGCCAAGTGGGGAAAGAGGTCCAAGAAGGAAACTGGATTGTTCAAAGGCCATGAAGAGTAGAGCTAGTTTCCAACATACTTCATGTGTTCAGTATTTTGTATTAAGTCAAGTTGAATTAAATAGACTGAAACTGAATTGTTCCAGGACCAGAAAACAGATCTCTTGACCCACAAGCCCCTCCCCCTTCTCTTGGCTTTCAACCTTTTTAAGAGGTTGAAAGTGAAAGTCACTCAGTCATGTCCTCCAACTCTTTGTGACCCCCTGGACTAATAGTCCATGGAATTCTCTAGGCCAGAATATTGGAGTGGGTAGTCTTTCCTTCTTCCAGGAGATCTTACCAACCCAGGGATCAAACCCAGGTCTCCTGCATTGCAGAGTCTTTACCAACTGAGCCACAAGGGAAGCCCAAGAATACTGGGGTGGGTAGCCTTTCCTTTTTCCAGGAGATCTTACCAACCCAAGATCAAACCCAGGTCTCCTGCATGGCAGGCAGAGTCTCTACCAGCTGAGCCACAAGGGAAGCCCACGAATACTGGGGTGGGTGGCCTATCCCTTCTCCAGTGGATCTTCCCAACCCAGGAATCGAACCAGAGTCTCCTGCATTGCAGGTGGATTCTTTAATACTGAGCTATCAGAGAGGTAATTAACATATAAAAATAGACAAAATATCAGCACTTAGAGCTATGACTCAGAGAGGGAAAGCTACCAGGTGCTGAGCGGAAGGACCGGGATCAAACTCACACCTTCCAACTCCCAGTTAGCTCCTCTCCCTCTGCCTCCCAGTCTACAGTGGCCTCACAGCAAAGCTGGCCCTTAGCACATGGGTTCTCCACGTTTCTGTCTCTTCTGGAAAGGCTACTCACCTGCCCGAAGCATGCACCTCCAGGTACTGCTTCCAGCCTGGAGCCAGCACGTTGTGCTTGAGGTTGGGATCGATGATGAGGTCCCAGCTGTCCGCTGGCTTTGCCTCCTCCATCTTCTCGTAGAAGATTTTCTTCCATTCACCTGTGGTCACACTTTTACACATGGTCTCGTCAGGGGCGAGGGAGGGCAAGCTCCACTTGAGTGAGAACACGGGGAGTGAGGGCAGGTGCAGGGCAGGGCAGCGCAGTCTCCACGGTCTAAAAATCCTCATCAGTAGGACCGGGAGGACGCGGGACCCAGCTCCCTCCTTTGTCCGCAGTGGAACCTGTTTCCACGGCAACCAGGCAGGGAGCCAAGAGACAGAGGTTGGGAAGGAGGGAGTCTCTGAAGGGGTGTTTCAGGGCCCCAAACTGAGGCTGCGGAGGCAGAGTTTGTGAGTCTAAGCGACCTTAGACAGTGTGGGGGGCCTGAAAGGAGCGTGAGCTTCAGACCATCTCACTCTGGTCTGCCAAGGGCATGCAGAGGCGAGGACCTGGGAACTGGCTCAGCTTTGCCTTGCTGCCCCTGGAGGTATCATCAGCATCTGGCTGCTGTGGTAACCATGATGCCTTTGGGAGCCAAAGAGAAATAAGGGATGGGAAGATGCAGACCTGTTAATAGATGCAGCAATGATAATAAACCCTCTCTCTGCACCCTCACCTGTCTTGCAACCAGCACTTTGTTATTTATAAAAACAATTGGAGGTCTCTTGACCCACAACTGTTATTGCCACTATACAGATCAGGAGACTGGGACTCACCTAGCATATAAATGGCAGAGCTCCTGGCCAAATCCAAGTTATTGAGCCTGTACCAGTCCATCAATTCGTTTGTCAAACATAGCCACGTGCCAGGCTCTGTGTATACCAGACAGTTATAACTGGGTATGTCCTCAGTAACCAGAATGCAGCAGGATCTGTGCTGTGACAGCCATGTACAAGAGCAGCCACCTGTGCACAAAGGTGGGACCATTGCATCAGCCTGGCAGAAGCAGAAAAGATAATCTTCAACTTGATTATAGAATAGGAACATAATACCCACGGGGAAAACAACCTTTACTATTGGTGCCTCTTTGGCTAATCTTTAATACATTTTCCTTTATAAAAGTCATACAGGATTTTTATAGAAAAATTGGAAAATATAGATCAAACAAGGCGAAGATAAGATTCTTCCTAATACCCATACTCAAGATAGTCACTGTTAATATTATGATATGCAAACCCTGCCTGTTATTTTTCTGTACATGTACATGTGTATATGTGTGTGTGTGTGTGTGTGTGTGCGTGTGTGTATGCATGTATGTGTGTATATATACACACATTAATATTATTCCATCTTGGAGGCTGCCTATATGCTGTTATATGGTTGAGCATAATTTATTTAGGAAACCCTCTATTTGGGGGCATTAATTTTTTTCCAACACTTCACAGTTACACTCACTTCCTATTTGAATAAAGCTTATTGCTGAAGCTCATGGGCCTGCATTTCAGGCACGAGAGATGATGCTTCCTGCAGTTGGAAAACACACTTGTGGCTCTACTCCCTGTCGAAGCTTGATGTGGCTTGAACATGAGCAGGCTCTTTCAACAGTATAACTTGTAGACAGCCTACAGATTCTGAAGCTTAGGGATGAAAAAGAAGTGCCTCGATCTCCTATCTGATACTCAAGACTGTCTTCCAAGTGATTCTCCTGCCTTTGCATGAATGCTGGATGCTTTGGCATCCTTTATTTTAGCCTCAGTTTATTCAGATAGGCAGTGGGATAATAACAAAGCAGTGTCTCTGGTGATTAACAGCGGGAGGTCTGAAATTGCTTGCCTAGATGGTTTTTTTCTTTTTTGGAATGCTCTTATATCCTCTTGGGTATCCTAATATATTTATATATATATCACTTCAAAATGTGTGTTGATGTTTTATATGAATACATTTTTAACTTGCATAGTAACAGCAATCACTATGTAGCACTTAGTGAGGTATCAGGCATTTTCCTAAGTGCTGTATATGTATTAATTTATTTCATCTTAATAATAATCTCTATACAGAGGTAATATCAGCAGCTTCACCATTCCTGTGATGCCACAGTCATTTGATGAGAGGCACCCAGGTTCAGTGGAGAGAACACTGAACTGGAAGGTGGAGATATCAACATATATCCTCAGCCCTTTTACTGGCTGACTTTGTAACCACGGTCAAGTCACTTCTCTTAGCCTCAGTTTGTTCATTTGTTCAATGAAGAACTAGAGTAGAGGGCAAGGCTAAGGTCCCCTCTGACTGTAGCCACATATGAATTCAAGGAGCTTTATACTTAGAAACCTGAATCCTTGGAGGGCAAGAGGTAGGATGGAGGCCATTGGATGGAAGAAGGATGCTTCTCATGAGGCATTGCAGGCAGTGCCTGGGGCCAGGGTCTGTCTCTTTAGGGGCTGCTACATAGTTAAAGATCTCTGGGGAGGTGTCAATCCACTAGCTTTGTACAGGACATAATAAGAAGGACAGAAATTAAATCACAGCCACTGAACATTCATGCTGGAAAGGATTTTTAGGCTCATTAAACTTTTATCTTTCAAGTCAATGTTCTTGCCTCTGAGTTAAGACAGTTGATACCCAGAGAAGTACATAAACTGACTAGCCTCAGAAGCATGATGGGAGCTGTCTTACATTGCAGCCACAGGCCAAGGAGAGAGTGGAAACTGAGGATATTTCCAGGAAGTATGTGAAGCTGAGAGAAGCTTCTGTGAACTCATTGTGAAACCAAAGTGTATTACCTGACACTAGGAACAAATGCTCTAGAAGTATTTCGCAGTTGTTGCTACCATAAACATTATGATGAAAGACAAGAACAGAGAAGGTAAGAATCACCAGAGGTGTGTGTGTGTGTGTGTGTGTCCACATGTGTGTGTGTAACCAGCTGATGCAATTCCCATTGGCACAAATTAAGTTTAATTTAGAACCTGAGCTTACTATCGCAGAGATCTATGTAATACATCCTTCTGTATAGGAGAATATTTTCTCTAACATAATAATATTTCTATCAAGGCAAATAACCCTATGGTATTTCAACTTGTTCTCTATCAAATGAACTCTGATGCCATGAAATCCGCAATTTAGAGATTGCAGATCTTTTAGCAATCAGGATTCTTGGGTTGTAATCAATACGAATTGATAAGAGGCCAGAGGAAAAATTCAGGCAAGGCTTTGCTGGGACTAGTGCTACAGCAGGAAGGGGTGGAAACAAGGAACAGGTTCTCTTGCTCATCTCTGAAGGGAGCAGCAAGCTAGTTCCTTATATGGGGTGAGGGTAGGGATGGGTCCAGGGGTGGTGCCTGAGGGGTAGCTTAGGTGGTTTGACCCTTGTACTGAGGGCAAGGGGCATGCACAGTTCCTTGCTCTTGCTTTGGACCCGTCTGAAGTGGCAGTGGGCTTTGGTCTTTTCGTATCCTGATGTTCATAATTTGCCACAACTGCACATCCCTGCAGTTGCTTTTAGCCCCTTATAGTTTCTTTGTATNTTTTATTTTTTTTTTTTTTTTTTTTTTTTTTTTTTTTGCTTGAGAGGATGTTTGTCCAGATGCAAGCACTGCAGCAAAGGGACACTTGTCCCAGCCTGTCTCAAATATAGATGTCTTTAAAGGCATTGGCCTCACCTTGACCAATTTCTTAAAGTTGGTGATCACAATTTAAATCCATTAAATGGTTTAAAGCTAAATCCCCAACTAGAAAATAGAGTGTGGTGGGTGGGAGGAGAGAAAAAAGGAAGAAAACTATGTCTCTAATTTGTTATTTGGCTCAGTAAGAAATATTTCCTGAGGTTTATTATTCTATTATTGCTTATCAAAATGTTATAAAAATAAACATCCTCAGTCTGAAAATAATACACTAATGCCAAGTGATTCTCAACCATGAACAATTCCATATCCCTAAAAGGCATTTGGTAAGGACGGGGATATGTTTGCTGATTGGATCAATGACTAGACGTTTCTGTTGGCACACAGTGCCCGGAGACCAAGGATCTAAATATAACTGACAGTTCCACAGCAAAGAATTGTCTTTCCTAAAATGATCTACCTTTCCTAAATCCAAATAGTAAGCCCCCCACCATGATCTGTTGATTTGCTGGTATAAAAAGCCCAGGTGGTAATCTCAACCTCCAACCTAATTAAACCATTTTTTTGTTCCTTGATGGAAAAACATTCCTCCCTTGGAAACCAAGATCTCTGAACCAGCAGAGTCCAAAGTTGGGGCGAGGGGATAGGAAGCAAAGAGTAAATGAAAAACAAACAAAAAAAACTTTAACTAAAATCACTAACTAATAGCTAACTAAAATCTCAAAAATGACAGAATGATCTCTGTTCGTTTCCAAGGCAAACCATTCAATATCATGGTAATCCAAGTCTATGCCC